CAGGCTCCATTTTCCGAGAGGCTTTGATCTGGGAGGTCCTGGGAGAAGCTCGAGTATCTAGACCACAGGCTATTCTGCCTCCCAGTGCAGTTGGGCTGCTTGGTGCTAAGACTCATTGCTCTAAGAGCCCACCTAGGCTGTGACCTAGAGTCTTATGTACTGGGTTGGCCAACAGGTCTTACAGAAAAACTCAAATGAACTTTTTTGCCAACCCAATATTTGGCAACAACTCATGTAACTCTCGTGCCTCACCAGGGAAGGTTTCATTCAGAAACACACTGAGCACCCTATTTCAATGAGACTGGGGTTTGAGTGTTTGCAGCTGTGACCCTAAGGGGACAAAGAGGCATTCTTTTTGGCATGAAGACATTCCTAATGGGCTCGGACCTCCACTGGAGCAGTTCTGAGGCAAGGCTGGTTGTGAAGGGCCCAGCACTCACATGTTAGGAAGAACAAGAAAGTCAGCAAAGTGTGACTCAGTCTGGGGGCTGTCTTTCCTGGTGAGTTAAGATGGCATTGTTTGGGGGCATCTTTGCAATTTGCTATACCCACAGCAGGAAGACCTCTTTACAGGGCAGTCAGCAGCCCATCTTCCCTTTTGCTATGTGGTTTGTGAGTTTGCCATTGAATCAACATCCAAGAGTATCTTCCAAATCAATTTGCATTACACCAGAAAGGTCTCCTTCACAGTTGAGATCCTTAGTTTTTAAACTCTAGAATCCACTCCCCACCCTCTTTCCCCATCTGTAAAACAAGGTAAATAGCTGCCCAGACCTCACATGCAGTTGTTATTATTGGGATTAACAGAGATGATTCATGTAGGAGTTTAGCATAGTCTTCAATAAGCTAATGTTGTAATTAGCACTAGGCTCCCACTCTTTTATTTAAATAGGATTTCTTGGAGCCCCCAGCACTGATTTGTTGGTTCATAGCATTTCCAGAACCAAGCAGTTGAGGCAGTTGAGGAGATGTTTGAATCCTTCTCTCCCAGGGCCTGTGGGTTAGAGGAGTTTAAGATGGGTGAAATTGCCTCTCCTACAGCCTGGACCTTTCATGGATGGCTGTGCAAATCGTCATCACACTTGCCTCTCTAGGAGGAAGCAACACCAACACCCAACTACAGAGAAGTCTCATTGACTTGGCCACAATTCCTGGTTAGACATCTAACAAAGCCCAGGCTCCCCAACCCTCTTCTGTTCAGTGGTTCACCAGAAATTTTGTAGAGCTCGGTCTTTCCTGCAGGACCTAGAGGCTGGCCTCCTCCAGTGAAGCTGGCAGGAAGGGCAGTCACAGAGGTTGGCGTAGTCCTAAGGGCCTTTAGGGAAAGACAGGCTATAAAGATCAATGGAAAGAGCTTTGGAAAGTGGATGGATGGATGAATGAATGAGTGAGTCTTCAATTTATATCTTCTTGGAGAAAGTGGTCTTTGAGACGGAGTTTGAGGAAGGAAGTGAGGAATAATGTCGCAGGCAGAGAAGGTAGCAGGAGCTGAGATGGACAAGGGGAAGGTAATCATTCATTCACAGACAGGTATGTCCTGAGTGTCTATGTGCTGGCACTAGTTTAGTTGACACTGGGGCATGGGGGACTGATGGGTTGGCTGAAATCTAAGTGACAGAAGATAAAGTAGAGGGGGTAGAGTAGGGTCCTGCAGATGTGGGGTGCTGGATGCTAAATGAAAGGAGGAGGAAGCCCACAACCCAGGTGAGAGCCGTCAGGGTGCAGAGTGAAAACTCAGAATGGCTGGTGGGAGCATCCTTTGCAAGATTCTCTGTAGACACTCACAGCTTGTGCATCACCTGTGCCTGCTGTTTATCGCCTCTCAGCCTCAAGTTCAGTCCACACTTTAACTTTCTCCTGGTGGGAAGGGACCAGTGCCTTTGTTTTCTCCCCCGCCTACAGGGTGAGCTGTTTCCTGACTTTGGCCTTCACGTGATCCTGTTATTAAAACCAACCAAAAAAAAAAAATTGCCCCTGTTTCATAATGCCCCGGTCATCTCCCTCCTAGCCTGAGCCTGTGAGAGTCTGTGCTCTTATGCACACTTCTGTGATCCAGATCCTTTCTCAAGCAAAGTCTTCTTGCCAGAACTCCCGCATCTTCCTCCTCTCCAGAGCCTGCTCTCTCCTTAGGTCTATGGAGAACCCTGCATTGTTGGACCTAAAACCTCAAATCTCCTTTACTGTTTCAAGATCAAGAGCTTAATCTGCAGTGTTTTTATCCCAATCCCAGGTAGTATACAGGAGGAGCAGCTTGCTGAGTGAGCCAGAACCCAGACCCTGGGGTCCACAGATCTGAGAATGTGTTTCTCTCTCTTCCTTGGCAGTCTGGCTCTTTGCAACCCTATGTAGCCCACTAGGTTCCTCTGTCCAAGGAGTCCTCCAGGCAAGAATACTGGAGTGAGTGGCCATTCCCTTCTCCAGGAGATCTTCTCTCTGACCCAGGGGTTGAACCAGGCTCTCCCACATTGCAGGCAGATTCTTTACCTCCTGAGCCTCCCTGGCGTAGCGGTCACAAGCAAATGACTTGACTTTTCTGTGCAAAGACTAAATGAGAAAACATGGGTCAAATGTAAATTAATCTTTAACTGAAAGCAAGTACCCGAATTCAAACTAAAAATGCCTTTAAATGAGGTACATAACAATTGAGCTTTGGAATAAAGAGCACCAGTGGGAAACTTTTCCATTAAGCAGCCTTAGAGACTGAAGCTGTATGCTCCAGTATCCCAGGCTGTGGTCTTAAGCAGCCATTTTTGCAACATCTTCTGTTTGCCTTAATCGTAAACCCACACAGTACCTGTTCTTTTAACATTAAAATGATTAAACTTTCGTTAACATTGAGCAGAAGCTATGCTCCAGGAAAATACCCTGTATTTATCCTGTGACTCCTGGCATCTGGAGTCTGGAAGCCCAGGTTTAAGATGAGACGGAGTTTGAGGAAGGAAGTGAGGAATAATGTCGCAGGCAGAGAAGGTAGCAGGAGCTGAGATGGACAAGGGGAAGGTAATCATTCATTCACAGACAGGTATGTCCTGAGTGTCTATGTGCTGGCACTAGTTTAGTTGACACTGGGGCATGGGGGACTGATGGGTTGGCTGAAATCTAAGTGACAGAAGATAAAGTAGAGGGGGTAGAGTAGGGTCCTGCAGATGTGGGGTGCTGGATGCTAAATGAAAGGAGGAGGAAGCCCACAACCCAGGTGAGAGCCGTCAGGGTGCAGAGTGAAAACTCAGAATGGCTGGTGGGAGCATCCTTTGCAAGATTCTCTGTAGACACTCACAGCTTGTGCATCACCGGTGCCTGCTGTTTATCGCCTCTCAGTCTCAAGTTCAGTCCACACTTTAACTTTCTCCTGGTGGGAAGGGACCAGTGCCTTTGTTTTCTCCCCCGCCTACAGGGTGAGCTGTTTCCTGACTTTGGCCTTCACGTGATCCTGTTATTAAAACCAACCAAAAAAAAAAAAAAAATTGCCCCTGTTTCATAATGCCCCGGTCATCTCCCTCCTAGCCTGAGCCTGTGAGAGTCTGTGCTCTTATGCACACTTCTGTGATCCAGATCCTTTCTCAAGCAAAGTCTTCTTGCCAGAACTCCCGCATCTTCCTCCTCTCCAGAGCCTGCTCTCTCCTTAGGTCTATGGAGAACCCTGCATTGTTGGACCTAAAACCTCAAATCTCCTTTACTGTTTCAAGATCAAGAGCTTAATCTGCAGTGTTTTTATCCCAATCCCAGGTAGTATACAGGAGGAGCAGCTTGCTGAGTGAGCCAGAACCCAGATCCTGGGGTCCACAGATCTGAGAATGTGTTTCTCTCTCTTCCTTGGCAGTCTGGCTCTTTGCAACCCTATGTAGCCCACTAGGTTCCTCTGTCCAAGGAGTCCTCCAGGCAAGAATACTGGAGTGAGTGGCCATTCCCTTCTCCAGGAGATCTTCTCTCTGACCCAGGGGTTGAACCAGGCTCTCCCACATTGCAGGCAGATTCTTTACCTCCTGAGCCTCCCTGGCGTAGCGGTCACAAGCAAATGACTTGACTTTTCTGTGCAAAGACTAAATGAGAAAACATGGGTCAAATGTAAATTAATCTTTAACTGAAAGCAAGTACCCGAATTCAAACTAAAAATGCCTTTAAATGAGGTACATAACAATTGAGCTTTGGAATAAAGAGCACCAGTGGGAAACTTTTCCATTAAGCAGCCTTAGAGACTGAAGCTGTATGCTCCAGTATCCCAGGCTGTGGTCTTAAGCAGCCATTTTTGCAACATCTTCTGTTTGCCTTAATCGTAAACCCACACAGTACCTGTTCTTTTAACATTAAAATGATTAAACTTTCGTTAACATTGAGCAGAAGCTATGCTCCAGGAAAATACCCTGTATTTATCCTGTGACTCCTGGCATCTGGAGTCTGGAAGCCCAGGTTTAAGGAAATCACAAATGTAAGACCCCTGGGGCTTTTCAGGTCCTACAATTACCAGACGGTGCTGCTGGTTCTACCCCAGTACATGCCCCTGTGCACTGGATCGGCTGGTAAATGCTTGCAGAACTAATTAACCCTGACAAAGAAGATAAAAATCAAGCTACAGTCTTTGTCTCCTGCTGGCTTAGTGTGTTTTCTTTCTCTCATCACTGGGAATTCTGAATACACACATTTAGTTTAAAAATAACCTGGGTTTTTATGAACTGCCAAAATGAGCTTCACGTCCTAGACACATTTGCTGCCTTCCTCACTCCCCCAGGATCTGGCATAGTAACCATGATAACAAAGTGCTTCAGTAGCACCTTGCCTCCGCAGATGATAAGCTGATGAGTTACCTCGTTCTCCAAGCAAGAAAAACGTATGCGGGGGAGTCGGAGCGATTTTACCGACACCTTTGCCTCCAGTAGCCAAGGCTGGAGGGGCCCCTTTGGGCTTTTTTGTAGGGCTTGGGTCTCTCCAGTCCAGTCCTCCTGGGGAGTGGGGCGAATGAGACCTCTGCCCGGAGAGGGTGCTGATGTCCCTGTCTTCCTCAGCTGCCACTCTGGGTACGTCGGTGCACGCTGTGAACACGCAGACCTCCTGGCCGTGGTGGCTGCCAGCCAGAAGAAGCAGGCCATCACTGCCTTGGTGGTGGTCTCCATTGTGGCCCTGGCTGTCCTCATCATCACGTGTGTGCTGATACAGTAAGTCTTCACTGCCCCTGAGCCAGGGCCCCCCACCTGCCTGCCTTCCCGGGGCCATCTGCAGCGCTCCCAGGTAGCAGGGCCACCTCGGCAGTTTACTGCTGTGATGTCTGGTTGGTGTTAGCGAAGCGAAGAGGGATTTTGGTGAAAGCTGAGTGGTATGAAGGGCACACAGCCCGGGAGATCTCCAGCAAATGGGTCAGAGCAGAGCTCTGACTGGAAGCAGAGCCAAAGGCTTGGAGCCTTCACCGTTGTGATGGGTGTGTGCAGGGGTTCCAGAGGGAATTGGAAAAGCCTCCGAGCCTCCTGTGTGCAGTTAACAGTCACACTTCCTCTCTGCAAATCCTAAAGCCACTATTGCTGTTACTCCCTCTTCTCTTCCTCCAGACCTCAGTCGCTGCCTGGCATCTTCCAGGATGCCTTCCTGAGCCCCGTTTTGGGTGTTCTTAGCCTCATTTGCTTGCCTATCTCTCCCAATTGGACTGCTCTGCAAAGGGACAGACCCTAGGGTTGTATTTCCAGTATTGGGCCAGAATACTGGCACGATATTCCCTGGAAATATGGGTAACAGGTGCGCTGAGAGGATGGGTTTGCCACGACCAGAGAGTGTTAGTCTGCGGAGAAAGATCTGAAGCCATGGAGTTGCTTGGCTCGTTCTTTCGTTCCTTCCGTGGGTCCATGCAGGCTACCCCAGTCCCTGCTTTACTGCTCGCTGGCTGCTCCTGATGGATGACCCCCGTCCCGGGCCTTCACAGCCCTGCCAGCCTGAAGCGGCTGTTTTGGCCCAGTCCTGACAGTGGTTCTAAGTGACCCAACTGCTGCTTTATGGAGCAGACAGCTGGGCTGCCAGGGTGGGGGTGGGGAGTGACCGGTCCCCTCTGTCGACTGGACAGGAGCGGCCACGCAGAGCCGGTCTTTGGGGTGGCCAACAGATCCTTCCGCGAGTGGCCCCAAAGGCCACCTCCTTGCAAAGCCCTCAGCCCTGTGCTGTGATTGTCCCTCTGGAAGCTCCAGGGGAAGGATGGGTTAGAGCCCGGAGCAGCCTGGCAGGCCCCTCCGGCAGACGCTGCACCAGCTGGGCACTCCTGCGGGCTCCTACCCAGCCCATGTTCTCTGCACCTTTGCAGCTGCTGCGAGGTCCGAAAACACTGCGAGTGGTGCCGGGCGCTCGTCTGCCGGCATGAGAAGCCCAGCGCCCTCCTGAAGGGACGGACTGCTTGCTGCCACTCAGAAACAGGTAAGGAAGCTGCCTCAAGGGAGGACTTTTCCCTCGGGAGACACTATTGGGTAGAGAAAAGGTCTACCTTCTCCAAGTCAGGGCAGAAGTTCTTGGAGGGTGAAGCAGAAAGAAGGGAGAAAAAGAAGAGGATATTTATCCTACCAAGTCAGATTCAGTTTATTCCAATGTGGCTTTTCCTCAGAAGGTAGCTCTGTTATCCTTACCTGTGACCATGTGACCTTTAACAAGTAACTTAATGTCTCTGAGCCTTGGTTTTCTCATTAAAAAGATGTCATGCAAATTAAATAAGTACTGAGATAAAGAACCTGCTGTATCACAGACTGGAGACACGTAACAGACATTCTTTCTCTTTTTCTTTCTCTTGAGAAATCATCTTCCCTTTCCCATCAATGAAATGAGAGATGGGGCTTTTAGAAGGACCTGAAGGACTCTGAGCTCTTAGAATCCTGTGATCTTCATTCAGCTTACCATTGTTCCATGAATACTTTCTCCAACATCCGTGAAAAAGATAGGACATCTGGCTAAGATGCCAGACTCACATCTCCAGAGCCTTCTCCAAGCATCCCTAGCTCCGGGCTCCTGGAGTCAAATAGCAAATTAATCCAGACAGGCTCTGAAAAGTCACACATGAATGAGTTTCTGGAATGCTTGTTTGACCAAAAAGACTGTCATAAACTTAGCGTTCCTTTTTAGGAAGTGGTTCGTCAAGAGACAGTCACCCCAGCCTCATCCACCTGAGGGTGGCTTCTCTACTAAACAGTCAGCTCAAGGTTGCATGGACTGGGCAGGGAGAAAAGTACCTGCTCTATTCCTTCGGCCTCCTGGTGATCCGACCTGGAGGGAACTGAAGGCAAGGGACCTCCGTTTACTTGATCTTCATTTCAAGAGCCATAGTAATTGTGTGTTAGTGGTTGTTTTGATTTAGGAAGGTGCTAATTCATTGATCCTCTCAGTAGTCTTGAGGAGGGTGTGGGTAAACTGAGTCTGCCAAAGGTGTGTGTGGAAGGTCTGAGTCCCTGGGGGAGCTAGGATGAGAGCCAGGGCCTCTGAAGTCCCCACTCCCATTTCCTCCGCTACCTCGGGGGACCATGCATTGAGCTAATGAAGATAAGCATTTTTGTTTTGTCTTTTAACACCAACAGAAAAAAATTGTGTATGACTTTTTAAGAAAATTGATAGTATTTTTGTACCCTCAGTCTGCACCTTGGCAGAGTCATTTAGGGTGGAGTAAATTTCTTGTTAATGTCACTTCTTTACCTACATTTTGAGAGAATGTTGGCTTTGAACCCAGCGATGGGTCTGACCTTGCAGAGATGGCCACCAAGGCTAAAGCCCCCTCTTCTTAAGGTGATGGGTATGCTCCACCTCCAGGGAACCCGGGAGAGGCCAGTGCAGGAAGATGTCCAGGCTGGACTGGACTCTGGAGCTGCTGGGGACTGGGTGCACCCTGCTTCCCGTGACAGGCGCAGAGGATGCCCTCAGGGCCCAACCACTGAGAAACAGCGGCCTTAGAGGAAGCCATTCTGCTGCCAGAGCCCTTGACCAGCTCATGAGCTGCCCACTAAGCCGCTGCTGATGAGGGAACTGGCTGCAGACGGGGCTGAAGTACCTCCAGTTGAATGAAGGCCTTCACACAGTGTGTGTCCCTGTTTCCTTCTTTCCTTTGGTGCTGAAAGCACAGATTCAGGAGCTACTGCCCCTGTGGTCGAACCAGCAGAATGTGGATTTGACTGCCCAAGAGAATACAGTGACTTGGGCTGGTGCATCCCCAAGTTTTCCCCATGCCAGTTTTCCCAGCCTGGCTGGAGTGTGGCCTGCAGACCTTAACTTGTTTTTCCTTCCTTCCAGTGGTCTGAAGAGCCCAGAGGAGGAGTTCTGCCAGGTGGCCTGCAGCAGCCAGAGGGAAAAAGGACTTTTTGAGTTCGGCACAGCCAGGGCTACCAGGCGTGGGTCAGCAGGCCCTTCCTTCTCCGCCTGCCATCGCCTGTGCAGGCTTTTTGTCTTATGTGGGCCTTCCTTCAAAATTCTGTCCAGAACTCTGTCTGCTTGGGGTTATCCGATGCCACCTGGAGAAGAAATCGGTGGACCACAGTTTAAAGACTGGTCAGAAATGAATGGCATGGGGTGGACCTCCTATTTACCTAATGACCTATGTGCTTCGTCATCTGCATCCAGGTGTGTGTAGGTGTGTTCTGCCAGTTACGGATACCAGACCTGTCTCCCCACAAGTCTCCATCGTGCCTGACACTGGAGTTCCTATAATTGTTACAGTTTTTTTCTTATCTGCTTATTGGGGAAAATGGTGAAAAATAGCATCACTGCTTTTTGCTACATGAAGACACCAGTGGAGGAGGAGCCATACCAGTCCTCTGTCATGAAACCCTCAACCAGCCCAGTGTCTTCCATGGACACATGATGCTGAAGACCTTCCTGAGCTGTCACCATCCTCAGAGATAATTTATTTATTAGATGGATGATGATTTTATTTTAATCTCTTAAGTCAGTGTAAAACGCGTAAAAGCCTTTCAGACATCTACATCAATGATCCATGTATTGCTGGCCAAAAAACTAGACTGATTAGAAATGTCTGGTCTCTTTGGGACAGATAAAACTTGGTGGGCAGGGGGAGAGCACCAAGATGGGTGGAGATGGAAGCAAGGAGGAGTTACTGATGGGAGCAAAGCTTGGGGTTCAGAGGTCATGCCATTTAAGACACAAAACTGGTAAATGCCCCAGGATACATTCCTGCTGGAAAATTAGCAGATCTTACAGTGGAGACCTGGCACCTTACTGAGGAAGAGAAAGAGAGTCTGTGTGTGTATCTACAAGGAGGAAACACAGCAGTGACTACACCGCTCTTATTAGACCTATTAACCTTCTGGTGGGCTGTCCGAGAATCTGTTTAGACATAGAACTTTAGCAGAGAGCAGCAGGCATCTGGGGTTGCACCCATGAAAGGGGACCAGTCACTTATTTTCCACGTTGTTACTTGGTTGATTTGTTGCATTATTTTGAAAAGGACAAGTTGAACTTTCCTATTTATTTTTAAGCATTAGGAGAAATATTCCAGTGATTTTATTTTTCTTTTCCATTCAGGATGCTAGATTTTTGTTTTTTGTTTTAAAACAAAAACTCTTAAGAAGCTGCCTCCATCATGTGAGTCTTGCTTTTCCCTCAGAGAAGGAGAAACTGTTCTCCTGGGTACTTTCCAACCCAGTGGGCCTGCTTGTGGGAAACCCCGGTTCACTCCAACTTCATGGTGGAGCTCATCCCTAGGAATTGTTATGAAAATTTGGAAACAGGGAAACAATGAAATAATTTGTAAACTCCTTATGCAAGGGAACTCTTATTCACTAATATTTGAAAAATGGGAGATCACTACCTATTAACCCTTCAGTGCCTCTAGCTCCTCACTTTATGAAAGGGACTTTTAAAATATGTCAAGTGAGCTTGAAATTCCTCCCAGGTCATTTTGTCCTCCTGGAATTCTTCTGCCCAGTATGTCCATTTCAATGCACTTTCTCTGTTGAGAAAATTATATGACCTGTGTCGCAATTCTGGCACTTGTATTGAATGACGCTGTACCCAAAGCACCGAGATTAGAAATGGGATCTGTTCGCCAGCAGTGTAACTGACATAGCTCCTAGGGTCTAGTCATGAGAGAATATATGCTTAAGTTTGCATTCCTTACACAGGTCCTACAGCAGTGGATCTGAGGGCTGGGGCTTCACCCCTGGAGACCGATGCAGTTGACACTGGTTTGTGGACCCCAGTTTGCCCTCCCTTTTTTCATCAGACTCTCCTGAAAGTCTGATTCCGGTGTAGAGAGACTAATGAAAGTGGAGTGGCATCACTGGTTTTTAACTTGAAATCACATTTTTACTTTAGAACAATCTTTCCTCAGTCTTTTAGAGACTGTTTGAGGTCTGGTTGCCTTTCAAGAGAAAGAACTGATATTGAGAATGTCTTGTGGGGTTTTCTCCATCTACTGGATGGAAGGATCAGTGTCCAGTCTGTAGGCACCTGAGAGCCTCTGCAGAAGGGTGAGGAGGTGAGAACCAAGAACCTCCCTGATTTCCTGTGGGGACTTCACACTTAGGGTCTGTGAATGCTCCAGTCACAGCTGCTGGTGCCCCTCCACCCTTCCAGTGCTGATACAGCCTTGCAGCACACGGGCTCAGGTGTGTGCCACCCTGGGAGAGTTGCAGGCGGAGGCTGGGGTCAAGGCATGCCCGGGTGGACCTTTGTCCATGTCCAGGATGTGAGAACCTTGCTTAGTTGTTACTTGGTTGATTTGTTGCATTATTTTGAAAAGGACAAGTTGAACTTTCCTATTTATTTTTAAGCATTAGGAGAAATATTCCAGTGATTTTATTTTTCTTTTCCATTCAGGATGCTAGATTTTTGTTTTTTGTTTTAAAACAAAAACTCTTAAGAAGCTGCCTCCATCATGTGAGTCTTGCTTTTCCCTCAGAGAAGGAGAAACTGTTCTCCTGGGTACTTTCCAACCCAGTGGGCCTGCTTGTGGGAAACCCCGGTTCACTCCAACTTCATGGTGGAGCTCATCCCTAGGAATTGTTATGAAAATTTGGAAACAGGGAAACAATGAAATAATTTGTAAACTCCTTATGCAAGGGAACTCTTATTCACTAATATTTGAAAAATGGGAGATCACTACCTATTAACCCTTCAGTGCCTCTAGCTCCTCACTTTATGAAAGGGACTTTTAAAATATGTCAAGTGAGCTTGAAATTCCTCCCAGGTCATTTTGTCCTCCTGGAATTCTTCTGCCCAGTATGTCCATTTCAATGCACTTTCTCTGTTGAGAAAATTATATGACCTGTGTCGCAATTCTGGCACTTGTATTGAATGACGCTGTACCCAAAGCACCGAGATTAGAAATGGGATCTGTTCGCCAGCAGTGTAACTGACATAGCTCCTAGGGTCTAGTCATGAGAGAATATATGCTTAAGTTTGCATTCCTTACACAGGTCCTACAGCAGTGGATCTGAGGGCTGGGGCTTCACCCCTGGAGACCGATGCAGTTGACACTGGTTTGTGGACCCCAGTTTGCCCTCCCTTTTTTCATCAGACTCTCCTGAAAGTCTGATTCCGGTGTAGAGAGACTAATGAAAGTGGAGTGGCATCACTGGTTTTTAACTTGAAATCACATTTTTACTTTAGAACAATCTTTCCTCAGTCTTTTAGAGACTGTTTGAGGTCTGGTTGCCTTTCAAGAGAAAGAACTGATATTGAGAATGTCTTGTGGGGTTTTCTCCATCTACTGGATGGAAGGATCAGTGTCCAGTCTGTAGGCACCTGAGAGCCTCTGCAGAAGGGTGAGGAGGTGAGAACCAAGAACCTCCCTGATTTCCTGTGGGGACTTCACACTTAGGGTCTGTGAATGCTCCAGTCACAGCTGCTGGTGCCCCTCCACCCTTCCAGTGCTGATACAGCCTTGCAGCGCACGGGCTCAGGTGTGTGCCACCCTGGGAGAGTTGCAGGCGGAGGCTGGGGTCAAGGCATGCCCGGGTGGACCTTTGTCCATGTCCAGGATGTGAGAACCTTGCTTCTTTAGTGAGTTTTCTCTTAGAAATCAGAATGGCCACTAAGCATTGGATTCCTATGCCATTTGTGGCATTGGTACTTCTTTGGTTAAATATAAAAATGCCCCCTTTTCAGGTTAAAAATCATCTTCTAATTCAACTCTGTAGGTTCCCTGTGTTTCTTTGCTTTTTACAAAGCCTAGTTCATTATGATTAGGGACTTGTTCCCAAGATCTGACCTGGTGAGCAGCTGCACACTGGGGGATGGGGAACACAGCTGTTTCCAATATCTGTCTCAGGAGAAATGCAAAACCCCCATTTAAAAGGGGCGGGGGAAGGGAGAGACTGCTTCCAAATCTTCAGTGGAGCCTGGATTCTCCCATTGCTGGACAGGCTGTGACTTCCTTAAGCATGCTGGCAGGAAATGTCTTCTTCTAGATGGAAGGATATACAGCAGCCAATCCTGATCTGGAAGACACATTTGAACACATGTGGTAAACAAGCAAGACTTGAGCTTGCCATTGTGGGCCAGCAGAGGAGAGGGGCAGAATGTCCCCAGAGTCTATTTTCCCATGAAAGAAGATGGAAGAATTGACATTACCCCCACCTGCATTGGTGAGGGAGGAGGTGTACCTCCAGAGCTTTTGGGAGCCTGCTCTATGCAGGTGGAGCAAGTGTCTGCATCTTCAGGTTTCCCGGGTCCAGGCTGCTTCAGTGCACATGTACCACTGGCTGCTCTTCCACCGGGTCCAGGCTGCTTCCTTGCATGTGGACCGCTGGCTGCTCTTCCAGGCCATCTTAACAGGAACAGTTCAAAGAGGCTCCAACACTGCTCAGGAGACCCTGATCCCATAATGGGATCTAGGCTTTGATTTCTCCCAACCTGCTCAGCTGAGGAGGGGTCAGGGGGGTGATTCAAAAGCCCAGGACCAAGGAGGACATCACAAAAACAAGAGGAACACATATATTTGTTCTTAATGTCCTAATAGAAGACCTGTTCTCTAGCCCCTGATTTCATCAGGCTTTCTAAAAGGTCTCATGGTAAACACACACATGGTACTGAACACAACGCCTCTTCCTAGTGTAATAATACTGAAATGTTCAACTTTTCATTATCTTATTATAACAAACCCGATGCTTTTTTTTTTTTTTAGAACTTGTTACTCTGACTTCTGTATATGTTGCACTGAAAAGGTTAATATTTAATGTTTTAATTTATTTTGTGTGGTAAGTTAATTTTGATTTCTGTAATGCATTAATGTGATTAGCAGTTCTTTTCTTTAATATCTGAATTATACTTATTTAAAGAGTAGTGAGCAATATAAAATGCAGTTGTGTTTTTCAGTAATGTATATTGTTGTCAGTTGTACTGTACCTTGTTTGGAAGGATGAAGGAATGAACTTTTTTTTTTCTTAAATCAAGACTGAAGCTTTTCTTTCGTGAGGTTGGGAGATGGCTGAAGTACATTAAGATTTTTCTCTGCAAATGTGAATGGTGCGAAAAAAAATGGATGCTCTTTTGCAAAATGTGGGAATCCTAAAATTAACTTTAGTTGATCCCTATATGCTTGTAAAAACCAAATTCTCTGAAATTCTTCTCAATATATACTTCATTTACACTATGTCCAACAATACGCTAACTAGTGTGGAAGATGAAACAGACAATCCCTGCCCCAAGGAATCAGAATCTGCCTGAGATCAATTGACATGCAAAAAATAATTCCAGACTCATTCCAGACAAAATACAAATAAAGCCTAAAATTGCAATGTAGAGGAGTTTGTGTGTTAATAGCTGTAATTCTGCACATGTGATCCCCAGACCAGCACCATCGCATCACCTGGGAGCTTCTAAGTAAGGCAAATTTCAGGGCCCACCCCTGACCTATTAAACTCTCAAGATGTCATGCCCTCTCTACCTTCCAGATGATTCTGATATGTATTTGAGTTTTGAGAACCATGGTGCTATAGGATTCCAGGAAGGGCAAATTCATGTGGGCCTAGAGTTTTTAGGAAAGGTTTTCTAGAGGATATTCAGGGGAAGTGAAACTTAACACAGTTTACCCCTTAGCTCTCAAGGTTAACGGCCATCAGGTAGTACAGCCTTGAGGTAAGGCTCGCATTTATTTGGCTCTTCTCAGCCTAGTTGAAGAAAAAAACAGGCCTGCCCATCTCCTTCCACACCACCGCTCACACCCACCCCCACTCCCCTCTGCTCACTTTCTAACTGTAAGGACTTGTTCTAAAACTGTCAACCCAGTTCTTACAAGCGTCACTGCACTTAAGTTCCCATACAAGCCTCTGCCCTTCTAACCCATGCATGGACCACTGGTGTGCAAGGTGGAGAAGCAAGGGAGAGTGAAACCGTTGCTGGGAGAAGCAAGAGCTAGGTTGCAAGGCAAATCCAGCTCTTTGTAGTGAAGGAGGTGCATATGGAGCCCGTTGTCCAGGCCTCGAAGGTCTTGGCATTGGCCTCACAGGAAGACAGCCACCCAGGCAACTCCTTGTTCTGAGTGTCCTGTCTGGTATCTGTCCCTCAGCAGAGCCTTTACCCACCTCTGAGGAGAGGGAGGGACAGACCTCTATCTGAACTCGGTGTCCCCCTCATGACCCTAATCAGTCTTCAGGGACATCTCCAGGCCCGATTTCTAAACCACTGGATTTTCTAGTTGACCCCTTTCTTCCCCTTAATTTCCAAGCCTTCCTGCCAAGGTTCCCTCTTCCATTTCTGGTGTCTGGTGCACTGGACTATCTAGGGTGGTGGGGAAGGACCTATCCCAGGAGAAAGCCCCCTTGAACTTGGAATCAGCCAGACCTCCCGTCATTTATCCAGGTGATGTGTGGGTGCCGTTGGCCCTCACGTCAGACCCCTGCTTTGCCTGGTTGCTCTGTGCCCTGACTCCTGCCCGGCCAGTTTGGGGTTCTGAACTGTGGCCTAGCCTTGCCTGCACTCTAGCTTGGAGCTCCCTGCCCAGCAGCAGCCTGGAATTCTAACCCAACTCTCTTTCCCCATCTCCTGAAACTCCAACTTCTAATTTGCTCTCCCCAGGACTCACTTACCAGGTCTTGAGCCTTACGCCTCTGCCTTTTATCCTCAGAAACAGGAAATGACATGCCCATGGTCACACAACCTTGGGTCTAGCAGTGTCTGCTCTACTACGCTAGCATCTCTCTCCCCAGATCAATTGAATCCTAGAACCTGTGGGGGTGGAGCTTGAGCATCTTTTAAAATCTCTCCCCATGATTCTAATCGTATCCCTACCGACCTCTGGAATACACCAAGCCCCAGGGAGCATATGGTTTAAGAGAGGGTTGACGCCCAGAGCTGAGATATCCTCCCAGGGCTTGCCACCCTAGTCCATGTTTAAGAATCCCTTAATACCCAGCAGATGTTAGCCCTGGGGAAACATGGAGGCTGGGCCCTCCTTTCAAGTGAGACAATCTAAAGCAAGGAAGAGAGAGAACACCTGTGGGAACTGGGGCCCCTGAGGAGTACCACGGGGTGCTTGAGGTTAGGCGAGCCTGGCCGATGGCTTTTCAGGAGCCAGATTTCAGACGTAAGATTAAAATATGGTGACATTTATCCAGAAAATAAAAAGGAGATTGGGGCGAAGAAAGGAAAAAAAACAAAACCTCTCCCCAGGCACATTTACCTCATGGAAGCTTCAGGCCCTGAGATGCAGCTGTATAAAGTGCCGCAGGA